TCACAGTAGAAACAAACCAGTACAAATATGTAATAATATTACTACTGGGAAGCACAACACATATACTGTAGTTATGGACACTGTTTTCGGGGGATTTACAGGGGGTGGCAGCTGTTTTCAAAATCAGAGCAAGAGTACAGAATTTTTTCTTGTAAGCATAGTGAAGATTCTAAGCAGCAATAGGAAAACAGATGAACTCTACCATTGCTCTGAGCTCCTATATTAGTACCTGAAAAACACAGACTCCCTCTCTGCCCTGATTTTTGTGGTGTTGGTCATTCTGCTAGTTTTGGAAAATAATATACATATCTTATATAAAATAATTTGCACACCACCTTTTGGCCTTCAAAGTGCCCCTGGGGAAGTAAGTTCTAACAATATATAGTCCAGCATATTTTAAACCTTGAAATGCTGCATATGCAGCAATCGAGCCAAATTTTCATTGCAATTGTATACATGTCTACTCAAAAGTAAGCCCTATTGTGCTCAACGGGACTTACTCTGAGCGAAGTGTCTAGAGGACTGTAGCCTCAAATCCCTGTTGACTTTGCTGGGGAAAAGCTAAGCATGCTATCAAAACCAGCAGGTTTTAAAAGTGCTTCGATTGTGCTTATTGCATTTGAAGGATTATAGTAAAAAGATCTTCTTTAAATTGCCTTAAACAACGTATAAAACTTGAATCCTAAACGGCAGCACCCAAACCAAGAAAATGAATGGATAACCTCAAAAATTGCAAGTTGATTTTTTATGAATTAGTTTTGGGGGAGGGGGAAACACCCCAAACCCTCTCAAAACACTACTCTCCTTCCCTCTCCCATTGCTTGCCAAAAGTCTAGGCGCGCCATCGTCTTTTTTTATTCAGGTCCCAGCGTATTTACTGCCTCCTGTACCTAAACAAGTCATCTTGACTCTTCTTGTCAGACCACTGGCACTTCATCACAGCAGTGTCATGGCTCTCTGGCTCCAGGAGCACCACTACCACGGGAAAGCCAAATTCATCACGAGGGTGTGCAGTGTTCAAAGCTGTCACGCCTGCCCTGACGGATGACTTCTTGAGGGTAAGTGATATGAATTTACAGCTTGTATCGCATTCTTGAAACCAAAACGCAAGTCAGGGAGAATGCAACTTTCTTCAGGGTACATTTTCCGCCGCAAAGAAATTTAAGAGCGCTACCATTTCTGGATGGGGTGGCTGAGAATTTTCAAAGCACTCACCTCTTTCGCTCTGTTGGTTTATGTACCTGCGATCATTTTGTCAGCTGCTTTGAGCGTATTTAGAAGTGCCTTACAAATGTTTCAAATAAACAATGCCCCTTCCATACTTAGTAAGGCAAATCCGTTTGCTGCTGAAACCATACTTTATCCATCTTTAATGGCCAACGGAGGCGATTACAATGTGTTAAGAAGCAACTCAGTCATTGACACATTCTCTTTTCAGTTTAGTATTTCATTTACTTAGCTGGCAAAAGGATGTAGTCTGACAAGGAACCAAAATACTCATTGCTTTGAAGCCCATTGAATTCGATGGGTCGTATTTCCAGGTAAGTGGGGTTAAGATTGCTGTCGTGATTCCTGCTCAGACCACCACAACAGAGGCTCTTATCTGAGAGGAAGGACTAGAGCTTCCTCATCCAGAGCAGCTGTCTCTTGGGGGAGGGAATTACTGACACCTTTCAGCCTCTGTTCCCCTGACTTAACCCACCTCATGCCATCCTCCAGTTCCCCCTCCTTGTCCATCTCAGTCTGGCACTCTATGCCTGAGCCTGGCGACGTCTCAGGACTCATGACAACTGCAGTCTTAATACATTGTGCACATTTGCCTTACGTAAGAAATGGATTTCAGTCGCATTTCTTTCTTCTGCCCAGTAAAGGAAAGCCCTTTACTGTAAAGGGGTAGGCAACCTAAGGCTCGGGGGTCGGATGCGGCCCAATCGCCTTCTCAATCTGGCCTGCGGATGGTCCGGGAATCAGTTTGTTTTTACATGAGTAGAATGTGTCCTTTTATTTAAAATGCATCTCTGGGTTATTTGTGGGGCCTGCCTGGTGTTTTTACATGAGTAGAATGTATGCTTTTATTTAAAATGCATCTCTGGGTTATTTGTGGGGCATAGGAATTCGTTCATTTCCCCTCAAAAAATATAGTCCGGCCCACCACATGGTCTGAGGGACGGTGAACCGGCCCATGGCTGAAAAAGGTTGCTGACCCCTGCCTTAGAACATGGTGGCTCTTCCGTGAACTTACAGGGCACTTGCCTTCCTTTGCATCCCAAAATGTACTTGGCACACTTGATTCTCTCGCTACACTTTGTTACGTAATCACTGTTTTATGGACTGTCCCTTGTTCGTGATTTATTCCTTGTTATATAGTTTGGACAGAGCCCTCTCACCCCATAATGTGAACAAACTCTGCACACTCTTGCCTTCAATTCCAAAAAAGCTTATGGTGACAAAGATGCTTCTACATGACGGATTATTCTGAACTATGCACCCAAGCTTTTTGCAGTGTCCATTCAATGTGGTCCTCATCAAAACACCATCCCATACCCTCCCACCTATTTACCATTTCTATGTTTCTGCTTTTATTTCTTGTTGTTTAGAAAAAAGATTAATGCAACTTTTCCTCCCAACTCCCCCAAACTCTGGAGTGGAGTTTGCATCTGATGAGCAAGTCTTCTCCTATTTGCAAGGGAGCGGGTGGCGCTGTGGTCTAAAGCACTGAGCCTCTTGGGCTTGCCGATTGGAAGGTCGGCAGTTCGAATCTGTGCAACGGGGTGAGCTCCTGTTGCTCTGTCCCAGCTTCTGCCAACCTAGCAGTTCAAAAGCATACCAGTACGAGTAGATAAATAGATACCACTTTGGCGGGAAAGTAAATGGTGTTTCTGTGGCACTTGTCACCACGTCCCATTGCACCAGAAACAGTTTTGTCATGCTGGCCACATGACCCGGAAAGCTGTCTGCAGACAAATGCCCAGCTTCCTTGGCCTGAAGCGAGATGAATCCCACACCCCACAGTCAAATCTGACTGGGCTTCACTGTCCAGGGGTCCTTTACCTTTTTTTAGCTTCTCCTATTGGGAAGCTTTAAACAAACAAAATAAGGCGCAAATCCCTCAGTCGGTATTTCTAAACAGCAGGTATCTGTTTTTGTCTCTTGAGATAAAACATGTACCTGCTTTCTTCCAACTTCATTTCTTCATTATTCTTAATATTTCTATGGGTGCTTTTTGCATCACAAGCAGATGATGAGAACTAAGGAAGGACATAAGAAGAGCCTGCTGGATCAGGCCAATGACTCATCTAGTCCATCATCCTGCTCTCACAGTGGCCAACCAGATGCCTGTGGATAACCCACCAGTGAGACTCAAGCACAAGACCACTGTCCCCCCCTGAGGTTTCCAGCAACTGCATTCAGAAGCATTACTGCCTCCAATCCTGGCAGTGGTGTGTGTGTGTATGTTGGGAATTAGTAGGGTAGGGACCGAGCAATGGGCCCCTAACATAGGGGAAGAATGGAGGGTTGAAGGCACGCAGAGAGGCAAGAATCCTAGCTAGGTACTAATACAGGGCAAGTGGAGGTGGGGAAATCACAAGGACCAGGGGTCTGGGAAGGAGCAGAAGAATCAGAGCCTTGACATATGTGAAGCAGAGAGTGCATCTACAAGTTTATGCTTGTAGTTCCAGTGTGTGGAGGGCAGAAACCCAGTGAAGAGGCCTTTCTCATATCATGAGTGTGAAAAGTATAAGGGTTTCATACCCCTAAAGCTGTCCCCCGTGTATTAAATCTACTTCTCTGAGGGTATATGAATACTGAGCTTATCGAAATGGAAAACAGCCTTGTGAAATTTATTAAGATGCACATTTTCACTACTGAAAGTTAGGCCATGCTAACTTAAGAAATAACAAACCTGTTCTTTAGGAAAAGCAAAGTCCTCTTTTATGTAGATAGTATACACCTAAATATACAATGAGAGCTAATGCTATTTGGCATACATCTTCTATCTCTTAGACAAAGGCCCTGAAATAACAAATTTGGGCTGAAATGCTTTGAGCTATTAATAACAATTCATCAGCATAATTCGTTAACTTTCTTTTTGTTGGTTCCCTTAGCTGACTAATGATTATAACCACTCTTAACGCCTTTAGAAATGGTTTCTTGTGTGCACCAGCACATGCATCCCATGTTTTTGACTACTCCACAATGAACATCATTTTTTAAAAACAACAACAACCGCATAACAGAAAACACTTAAAAATATAAGCCTGTCATTCATACAAATAATGGATTGCTTAAGTTCTCTTGCAAAATATCTATTATACGGAAATTGAGTTAACTGTTCTCCAAAAACAAGTTACAGATAAAATCTTTTCTATTTGGAAGTTAGGACAAATTTGGAAGGAGGGGGGGATGTTGATGGGCAGAGATCTATTCAACACAAGGTGTTTAAGGGTACATTGTTACTTTTATAATCTTAAAGAACTACCAGTCTATTACAAATTAAATTAAACTGAAGTAAAATTATAATCCTAACATTAAATCCTCTATTAATGTGCAATTGGCTCTGAATTCTCATTAGGCAAGAGTAATTACACCAAACATTTTCACTTCATTGCAAGAGTTCCACAGTTCACTCTTCAAGATTGGTGAAATATAGGTTATTTTTGCCCCCTTTAGGCAGGTATCATAGTAGAAACCTTTATTTCAGGGGGAAATCACATGCCTGTAGTTCTATAATGGTTGAACATAAACATGAGAAAATCCATGCTGGTAAGCAAATTTAAAGAAAGGAGAACTATAAGACTTTTAGATGATTAACAGTATCCATATAAAACATTCTGGCCTTAATCCAGAGAAAACTGAAACTGCAGGACTGGATACAGTTTCTTTTACGTTCCCAACAACACTAACTTTACAATGAATGGCATTCTAGTTCTCACCAGATTTCCAAAGTGTGCTTAGAGTTAGGATGTTAATTAAATAAACCACTTGCATACATATCTTACCTGGGAGGAAACGAAATGTCCAGTTCATATAATTTGTCTTTAAAGACTGACAGCTCTTTGTCAAATTCCAAAAGCTAATGGGGGAAAAAAGAAACCAGAATTAAAACAAATAAACAAATAAACCCTTGTTTTCTTCAAAAAAGGTAATTGTTGAGTACATTTTAAGCTGCAATACTTACACCGTGATAGGTTTCAAGCTATTATTAATGTTTTGCTTTGTGATGCTGTTTTGTAATTTTAATATTTTATTGTACACTGATTTGGGGAATTGTCATGAAAAATGTAAATTTCAAAACAAAATAAATGAAGAAAGGAAAACATGATGCTGAATTAAAAGTATTGTGAACAGGTCCATTATTATTATTATTATTATTATTATTATTATTATTATTATTATTACTATTATTATTCTGAGAAAAAGAAACAGCAATGAGCATTAAAAACACACAATATGAATTTCTTATGAATGCTCAGAAAGTGTTCAACTTTGCTTTTATACTAGGGGCCCACCATGTGGGATTTAGCTCCTTTCAAAGATTAGCTCAGAATTGTTAAAGAAGCCCCAGTTTTACTTTTTCGGAGGTAAAACTAATTAGCTGTTCAGAATATTAAAATATAGCAAATTAAGATGCTAACCACTCAATAAAATATGCTCATATGGTGGTAATATTAGCTGCTGTACTCTTCTGCCTAGAAAAGAAGTTATGATAAAAACATAAATACAAGAACCCAAACTGTCATCTTAAAATTTACCTGCAAAATAAAACCAAACCACAAGGCTATGCAGAACAGCCCCATTTGACCACAAAAGCAAGCAATATTCCTATTCAGCTATTCTGAGGCAGTCACAATATTATTTATGTATCACCTGATACAACACATGATTATTTATAGAGTTGTGTTCCTAGGCAGCAGCAGTGAAGACACAATACCAGAGACAGCTTTAATGTACCCCCTGGACAAAGTTTTCCCCCTGCAGATTGCCACAAAGAAAGGAAGTGTGTAGCTTAACATTGTGCTCCGAAGCCAAAAAACAAACACCCTCCTCATAAAAGAACAATACTAGTAGTCTATATTTCAAAACAGGAGCTATCCTGATGGGCATAAAAAAAATAATAATCTTCATCCGAGAACCAAGACCAGCATCGAGTCCGACGTGCAAATGAACTTATAGTGCTACCGATCCATTGCTGTAAATGCCACTTTCGGTTTTGACAAGCATGCCATCAAAAATAGCTCTCCTTATAGAGCCTGTGTGTTTACTCCCTGTTCATTAATCATGTCCCAACTCACAGCTGTGCTGATACCATTGTATGAATGGCAGAGGTTCCGAATGAAATTAGATTGTGTTCTTCTTTCCCCTCCGCTCTGTCATAAATCATTCCTGAAATGTGCAATTAGCAGCTGCTTGTACACATTAATTATCTGTGTGAAAACCAGATACCTGAACCACCTGCACAACTGATTAGCTACCCTCCCTGTGGCCCACCCATTTTGTCTACAATCTCTGCAGCGCCACCAACCACCTATTGAGGCAGATTTTTGTCGGTGTACGAATATGGGCCCACAGGAGCATGAAATGCCACTCCTTCCTTTCTTGCATAGCTCATGCCAAGGAGAAAAAAAAGAAATGGTTTAAGATGCTTTATATTTAAAAAAATCCCTTATAGCAAATGTATGCAAATTATGAGAATTTTAAGGCCAAGCAATCTACATCCAAAAGCAGTGTAAGAGTTGTCTAGTCCCTGAGGGGCCATAAAGGCCACGTACGGACTTTGGAAAAAAACAAACAAATCACTCTAGAAGATGATCACACAGTGGTCTGGTTTATATGCACCAGCTCATGGATTAGCCCAGAGACACGAGCCTCAAGCTCCTGAGAAGGAGATTGTAACTGCTTTACTCCTCCCAACACACGGTTTTGTGTGTTGTTTGAACCTGGGTTCATGGCTTAGTTCAGGCTTCCTCAACCTCGGCCCTCCAGATGTTTTGTGACTACAATTCCCAGCATCCCTGACCACTGGTCCTGCTAGCTAGGGATCATGGGAGTTGTAGGCCAAAAACATCTGGAGGGCTGAGGTTGAGGAAGCCTGGCTTAGTTCTCCCCAGACTAGCCCCAAGCCGATACCAAGGTTTGTTCTTAGGTTACAGCTCTTGGTTACTCTGGAAATAGCTCAGCCATGCCATGCCTTAGGGTGACACAGCAGCAAAATGACTGGGGAGGTGCAAAGTGGCCCCAATGGTAAATCCACTACAACTCTCCAGCACAATTTTGTTTAGGCAAGCCTACTCAGATATGTAGAATGTTTAATCTCTTTTCAGCTCATCACTGATTTTAATGATTATGTGAATGTTCTAAATAGCTGATTGTTGTTGTTGTTGTTTAGTCGTGTCCGACTCTTCGTGACCCCATGGACCAGAGCGCGCCAGGCACCTCTGTCCTCCACTACCTCCCGCAGTTTGGTCAAACTCATGCTGGTAACCTCGAAAACACTATCCAACCATCTCGTCCTCTGTCGTCCCCTTCTCCTTGTACCCTCCATCTTTCCCAGCATCAGTGTCTTCTCCAGGGAGTCTTCTCTTCTCATGAGGTGGCCAAAGTACTGGAGCCTCAGCTTTTCACGATCTGTCCTTCCAGTGAGCACTCAGGGCTGATTTCCTTAAGAATGGATGCGTTTGATCTTCTTGCAGTCCATGGGACTCTCAAGAGTCTCCTCCAGCACCATAATTCAAAATTATTATTTTTAAAATTACTTTTGTTTTATTCCTTTTGTAGACTGCTTTGAGGGTTTCTTTCTTTCTTTCTTTCTTTCTTTCTTTCTTTCTTTCTTACAATCAAGCAATATATAAATTGTGTGAAATAAATAATGTCCACCTTTGGACTTAGTGTGATGTGCAAACCCGGCCATTATAAGAGTTGGGGTGAGCTGTGGGGACTGGACTCTTCTTCCCCACTCCGGCTCAACTTTATCCCAACAAACTTAACCAGTGTTTCCACTTAACTAAGGTTTGAAACAAGTTTCCCTTGTTTCCCTCATTAGTTTTAACCATGGTTAATGTTAGTGCACCTGTACAGTGGTACCTCGGGTTACAAACGCTTTGGGTTACCAACACTTCGGGTTACAAACTCTGCTAACCTGGAAGTAGTACCTCGGATTGAGAACTTTGCCCCAGGACGAGAACGGAAATCTTGCGCTGGCGGTGCGGTGGCAGCGGGAGGCCCCATTAGCGAAAGTGGTACCTCAGGTTAAGAACGGTTTCGGGTTAAGAACGGACCTCTGGAATGAATTAAGTTCATAACCTGAGGTACCACTGTAGTACAAAACTGTAGTTAAGGCTGGCACTGCAGGGAGACTCTTGGGAGAGGAGAGGTGCCGGAGACAGAGAGAGCATGCAGTCCCATCAGAGCAGTAGAACCAACAGTAGTCAGAAGTCTGCATCAAGTCCTCTGATTTCACAGCCCTTTCTTTGCATACGATACTCATTCTGAAAGTTTTGATTTGTGATTCATTCAACCATAGTACAGTAGATGAGCAGGTGCTACTCAATACATAGATAAATGCCTTGAGCTGATAGACAAAGCCCTGCAGATACTGCCTTGTTTTTGTCCAACAGTTTGTGAGCCCTGCACAAGCCCAATGGGTGCATTTCAACAGAACACTGGATTTTGTCCCATAATATTCAGGAACTGGTGAAGTGCCAACATGGTGTTTACATATATAATACGACTAATCAATAGCATCTATTAGCAGTTGTTTGCTACTACACTCAATGCATCTTTTGTTAATGGAAACGAAGAGTGAAATCCTGTTTGTGTCTACTCAGTTGTAAGTTCACTGGGTTCAATGAGACAAGTGGGTATAGGACTTACAGCCTCATGGAAGTATGGTGCAAAACTGCCTTTCAATACAATTATGATGGAGGGAGGGGAAAAACTAGGCCGCAGTCCTAACCCCACTTACCTGGGAGTAAACCCCATTAAATTCTTTGGAACTCCTGAGCAGACTTGGCTTAGTGTATGTTTATAAACTGACGGTTTTGAAGCATTTCTGTGAGAATTTTTTTTATCCAAGAAGCCAAGACAAAAGAACATTTTGAGAAAGGAGGGCTGCTTGTAAAATATAAAAATGCAAAAGACAGAATAAGCAAACAATGCTTCATAGAACACAATGGTAAAGAATACTCATTGAGAATTCCAGAGGCCGGGGGGAGCTAAATAGCTGCATTGTCTTCCTAGATGAATTCAAAATATCTACAGTGTGTACATCCAGTTTGCTTTGTTATGACAATATTCAGGATCTGACAGAAAGGCCAGGGCCTAGATAAGGGTTAACGGTGGTTCAGACACTTAGCTCCCAGCTCTTTCCCCAGTAACAGCCGCAGACATTTCTGACATTTTTATGTACTGTGGGTGGTTGCTTGCTTAGTTATGTGCTGTGTATTGCAGAGGAGCTATTGATATTGTTGTGACACAGATGACAGATAACAGGAACACAATTGTGCTGGCAGCCTCCTGTAGCCTCTCCCAACTCTTTAAGGAGCGGGGACATCCTTACAGCTGCAATGCTGGGCTTTGTAAGCAAGCGCCAGCTGCTGGAGGGACACGATAGGCGTTCTTACTGTTATTATTCTGGGCACTTCTAGTACAGAGAGAGGAAAGCTCAGCCCAGAGGCCAAAGTCTATCTGTCTGGCTCTTAGGACTCTCATTGAGCTCTTCCTGCTCAGCCACACACTCCTCTCCAAATGCCAGCCGAGCGTGCGGCGGTGGTGACAAATTAAAATGTCATGTCTCGGATTGTTAGGAAAGGGATCAAACATAAAATGAACAGCATCGTGAGGCTGTATGAAATTTATGCCGCTGCCATATTTGAAGTACTGCGTGTACTCCTTCTTGCCACACAGTGCCTGTTCTCAGTAAGCCAGGAGTCATCTGTACTTTAGAACTCAAGGACCGCTTCTCCCCATATGCACAGACCCTGCAACCATCATCCTAGGCCTTTCTTCATAGGTCAACTCCATGAGAGGTCCAGGAGGTGGTAACATGAGAACGGGCCTTTTCTGCAGTGGCTCCCC